GTCCATTTGAGCGAGCGTTTACTGTAAGTACAAGTTCCTTAGTTTTGTCATAGTAACGCAGCACAAGTACTTTGGTAACGAGATCCTTCAGTGTTTCAAAACACGATGTGTGTTCCTCTTCCCAGTGCCATGCTATGTCCTTTTGTAGCGGTTGACGTAATGGCGAAGATTTATCAGACAAACTAGGAAGAAACTTTCCCAAGTACTGCAGAAACCCGAGGAATGTCATTAGTTCCTCTTTACTTTTCGGCGGGTCCATTTTCTGTACTGCTCGTACCTTTTCTGGGTCTGGTTTGACACCTTTATTGGAGAGTTCATGTCCAACGTTAGTTACGCTGTCCTTCCGGAATTTACACTTTTCCTTGCTCAGTGTCACATTGTACTCGCGCACACGTTCGAGAACACGTACAAGCCTTTCATCATGCTCGGCCATGTTGGCTCCCCAGATCAGTATATCGTCCACTATCGAATCACTTCCCTTGATATCTTGTACCGTTTCCGATATGGCTCTCTGATATACTTCCGGTGCAGACTTTATTCCAAATGGGAAGCGGGTAATTCGGTATCTCCCAAAAGGACTATTAAATGTAGACAACCTTGGACTTTCTTCATCCAGGCGGATTTGCCAAAACCCGGGTGTGGCGTCAAGTTTCGAAAATATCTTGGCATCTGAAATTTCCAAAATTACATCTTCGACGGTTTTCACGGGGTAATGTTCACGAAGGATTGCTTTGTTTAGATCCCGTGGGTCTACACATACGCGTATCTTCCCATTGGGTTTTACGACAGTCACCAGAGTTCACCCACGGCGTCGGGTCAGACTGCTGGACAATAACGCCTTCTTTCTCCATGCGATCGAGCTCGGCTTTTACCTTGTCTTTTATCGCTAAAGGAATTTTTCGTGGAGCAAGAACGACAGGTTTAACAGTCGGATCCACTTGTATTTTGTGTATTTCTGGTAGGCACCCTAAACCTTCAAACACGTCAGAAAATTGTTCTAGATCGGCAGGAAGACATTTGTCCTTTTTTGCAGCTTTATCCACATTGTTTATACGCTGAACTAGCTCCAATTCCTTGCATGACTTAGCTCCAATAATTGGTTTGACGTCGCGATCAACCTCATGAAATGTTAAGTTCTTGACATTTTCCTTGTATTTGCACTTAAGGGCTGCCGTACCTTTCGGTTTGATGATGTGTCCTAAATACGAACGGAGAGGTATCCCTGATCTTGATTTCAGCTTGCGAACTGCACGAATCTTTTTTAACGTCTTTAGACTGATTACGTTGCACATGGCTCCCGTGTCTAACTGGAAGAACAGCGATTTACCTTCCACTGTAACGTTTTCACACCATTCAGTTTCAACAGAGTTTATCTCCGCGCCTAAGTATCCAACATAGAACTCCTCATCTTATTTTCACCATCTATCGCATGTACACTTTTCTTCGTTTTGCATAATTTGGCAAAGTGATTTTTCCCGTGGCATTGCATACAAGTTTTTCCAAAAGCTGGACAGTTTTCATGTAAACCACTTCCGGCGTGTGAATATCCACACCTTGAACAAGTCTTTTCCTTCGCTTTCACTGGGCGTTTGAATTTGTTCGGTTTATTACGGTAAGCTTTACCGGCACCACTGTCTTTAAACTGATGCTGTTTGGCTTTGGCGAGTGCATTTATTTTCGCATCTTCCCCGGCCATTGACTTTGCCTGGGCATGCGACAGTTCGTGTGTTCTTGCTATGTCGAAAGTTTTTACAAGTGTTAGATCGTTTCCAATGTTAATGGTTTTTCTCTGATTTTCGAATTTCTCACACCGATAACAATCCGATCACGGACCATTTCATCCGACTTATCATAGTTACAATCTCTCACTGCAATTTGTAATTGCGTCGTGAACTGTTCAAATGTTTCATTTTCACCCTGTGTTTTACTTTGGAATTTATATCTGTTATAAATCACATTTGACCTTGGTTTCACATATTGTTCAAAACGTTCGTAATAATACTTAAGTTCTTTCTTTTGATCCTCAGTGAGGTTCCACGTTGTGAACATGTTTCTGCCCTTTTCTCCTGACCAGATCATTAGGTAGACACATTTTTCGGGTTCTGTTTTCGCCAACAGCGGTCCCGAGAACATACAATCCACGTGTTGCCTGAAACTTTTCCATGAAAATTCCATATCCTGGCTGTGCCAGTCTATCATCGGTGTTGAGCACACAAGCGCTTCCATTTTGGATGCACAAATAGTTCTAGAAACTTTGTCCTATGTTATTTTAAGACTGATGTCTTATATTTGCGTAGATTCAGACCGATTCTGACACAATGTTACATAACTACAACTAACACGATGATGGCGTAATATGTTTTCTTTTAATCTCAGTCACTTGAATGTTTAACATACATAGGCTTGGTGATATATTGTGTTAAGCATGTTTGTGAATCAGATAGTATTACTCGAACTACGTATAACAAACTGCATGTATAACTGTGTAACAGTGTCATTATTGACAATGTATTGTTCATATCATTTAGTTGTTTTTATCAATACTTAATAAGTGCAACTTGTATACGAGCACTTGTCATATTTATATATATATATATATATATGACAGTGATCTATTTTTAGTTTAGACGTTCACCTGTTCGACTGGGGTCAGGGGTTAATGTATTTTAAAAACTCTTTATAGTGACCAGTTAGTGGTCAGTGCGCGGCTGCGCAGCGAGTCGCGCTTGTGTTAAATTTTATTCACACCTGTGCAAGTTTTCAGCCTGTGTAGACGGAATTCTAAACTTGCATTGTTTTGATCTTTTTGACTAACCCTAAAGTCCAGATACGCTGTACAGGTTGTCTCCCTTGGATCAAAGACCCTCTTCCATTTAAAGAGGGTCTTCCGACCAGAGAATAAATGATATTGAAATGAAAGAAAGTGTTGATCATTGTTGGACAAGAACCTTTAAGCCACGACCGGCTACAACTGAACCATTATAATACATGACACCATTCCACGGGTTAAAGTATGTTCAACCTCTGCTTACAAAAGGGCTGATGTGTACACTGTATAAAGGTCAAAACAAACCTAAGGGTGATCCCAATAGTTATCGTGCCATTTTCTTACTATCTGTTATTTTAAAAGTATTTGAAAAATTACTTCTCGTGTTACTAGATTCAACAAATCTCTCTTTAAGGTTAATCCGTAACAAAACGGTTTTCAAAAGAATGTCAGTAGTACGATGACTTCTTACTTAGTCCACGAGTCTGTTTCGTATGCTTGTGACAATAACAGTAAATTGTTTGCTTGCTTCCTAGATGCTGCTAAAGCACTTGACTGCGTATTCTTTAAACTCGCCAGCATCGGCTTTAAATCAATTGCTTGTTTATATGATTAGTGTTGTTTTGCCCCAAGGCTTCGTTTCCGATTGGTAAAGTCTGCCAAGGTACGCGTCAATGTAGCACTATCTCCCCTTGGTTATATACAGTATTTATTAATGATTTGTTAAATGACTTGTGCGCTGCAAAGTATTGATTTATTATTCAAGACGTTAATGTAACTTGTCAAACTTAATCTGACGATATAACGTTGTTATCTTTTTGTAACGGTGGTCTGTACCACAGGGACCTGAGTATGCCTAGACTTAAACTAAGGTGTTCAGAGTAATTTTACATGTTTTAGGGATTTAGATCGACTTTCGGTATATTCGAGAAGGGAGGAAAGCTCTCGATGTCGAAGTGTCGACCCCACCTAACTTTCTTGCATAAAAAACCCCAAACATTTCTAGTTTATCTACGGGAACAACATCCTGCTGGAACATGCAGTTTTGGTTGGTTTAGCGAAAATAAATGACTGCACTTCAAGCTATACTGGTTGAAGGCTATGCAATCGTTAAATATGAGTTTGAATCATTCAACCAGCTTATTTTTTTCAGTCATAATACTTTATTTTGTAATTGTTTTAATGTTCATATATCTAATGTTTATTTAAAATATGTATTTCATATAACTCTTCATGTTTGGAGGAATAAAGATATGAATGAATGAATTCCATTTTTTTATGTAATTAAGCTATGCAAATATGTAATCTGAACATCTTATTTAAGTTATATACCGGTACATGGCAATCAATTACTGTACAATGTATAAGCAGTCGGAGAGTTTGGTCGGTAGGGATTGGCCCAACCACCAGGCCTTTGGCAAGTAGCATGTTAAGTTAATACTACTTAATTGTTAAAGTACAAATATATGGATAATCACTTCATATCTTATATCTTTCAATTACCAGCACTATTTTGTTGATTTTAGCCTATGGCACAAGTGTCTTATTGTATAAGTCTCCCGATCACCTGCTCTCCAGAATGCCATGGCATCAAGATCAGATACGAGACAATATAGGTTATTTGTAACATATTATTTTTTTTCACAAAAGATTGTGTCTTAGACTCTTATCAAATTATCAATAGGTATTATATAATTATGTAATTATTTTGTGAATTGAATTGATTTATTTATATCTAAGGGACCCTATTGGAATTAAGCCACAATGTGGCATTATGGGTCATTGATCGAATCCAATCCAGTTTTTAACACTCTGATTGATTACTAGTTATATGGAATAAATAACCTATAAATAACATATGTGATAATATATATTTATGTCCAGTTTGTAAAATGTGATATACGTGTAATGTCTGCCTTTTACCTGAATCAATATTATTATTATTATTATTAACGAAAATATTTGAAAATATTGCCATTTTTATTTCATAGTGATTCATTCCGGCCACCACTTTTGCATCTGATTTTAAATATTGCTAATCATTCTTATACCATTGTAACGAATATACAATTGTCTTTCCTATGCTTGTCTCTGAATAAAACACAGTTATATATTAAGGGAGATATCGTCTAATAAATACGAAAATTCATCAAAAATCTCATCACGTCTGAGTGCATTCCGGGTTTTGTACTCGCCCTATTTTGACATCACAAAAACGTTTGATATTGTCCAGGAGACGCTTAAATTGAAAAAGAAAGTAGCTACAATGACCTCGGGCACGATTTCAACACACGACAACGCCGTTTTAAATAGAATATTTAATCCAAACCTCCCATATGGCGATGTAGTTGAAGAAACTGCCGATGAAGTTGCCCCATGTTCAGGTAACATAACAAGAAAATGCAGCTTAACTGGTTACTGACAGTCCATCAAACACGAGGGAACAAATCCTGCATCCTTGAATCTATCTATTTATAATTATATAAATTGTTAATGGCATTATTTTGTCGTTCAGAGTATTCCGTTCACGCTCAATATCCTGAAGTAATAATTACCTTCTGTCTTGGTCTTGCAAGCCGTCACATGGTTGACTATATCATAATGTCGCTGGACAGGTCAGGTCAAGTAATATAGCTCACCATATATGTATCTGGCACGGTACCCAACAATATGCGAGGTCACCGAGAAACTGTCACTACTATAAGTAGAGCACACTGTAGGACTAAGGGGTTACAATGTCTACAATATGCAGAGCACAATAAGCCGTCCGTACAGTCTGGAGTCCTGGAAGGAAGAGAGTTGGGGTCAGGGAATACTCACTCAAGCAGCACGGGGTCCCTGGCGTCTTACTTACCGTAGAAGCCCGGATGACGTAATGTCAACAGACCGTCGACACAACATTCCTCCCAACCTTATAATGAAAGTCCTTTGTTCTGGGAGGTCTTGAATTGGCGAATATCCCGATCCTTAATCAAAGTTCCCACAAACTATAAGCCTGTGTTTTTAACAACATGTTCTATTACTGGTTGCTGCTCCATGAAACATGGAATTAGAAACAACTGCCGGTTCAACCAGTAATATTCAGTTTCAGGAGAAGCAAGATGTAATTCCCCTTGCTCAGGTTCCGTACCGTCCGTCAGGTATCTGATCCTGAACGGTACACCTTTTCACGTGAAACTGACTGTCCTGGAACTCAACATCAGAACTTGATTCATTAACTCTCACTTCCACTGATAAAGTGGACAAACTGTCTGGAGACAAAGCCTCCAGTACTGGCTCAGTTGTCGGCCGGCTGTCATGGCTACCACAATCAGGGTGTCCGTAGCCAAGAGTGACCTGGGAAACTGTGCTATCCTGATGTTTTCCCAAGCCGGTTGACCTTCAAACTGAGAGGATTGGGTCTAACTGGCATGCATACCCTGAGGGTATACAAGAGAACTTAAACCACTCACGGAAAATCGACCCCTGGCATGAGGGTTAAGTATACTGTCCACAGAGGGCTCCTTACGGCAGTTCACCTGACCTATAAGCTCAGGACACTCCCTAGGATTTCCCCCTTCTGGCCTTGCGGGTTACGTTTCAATGTGGCCACAACAATCCTACAGGACTGGAAACTCTGGTCCACGCAAGGAGAACTGTCCGTCAGGTTCTTAATGTCCTCCACTTCTATAGCAAACTCGTCCCCTTATTTGTCTGCATGCTGACAATAACTACAGCCTCCACAGGGTAACTTCTCGGGTCTGATCCCGGCAACATAGGATGGACCATCCACCGTGCCAACTGTTCCTGTGGGTCTTTAAACCGTAGTAGACAAGTTAAACTAGAGTGGTCTGTCCTAACGGTAAACTGTCTTGTAAATCTCACCATACTGAGAAACTCCTTCGGGGAGTGCACTATTTCTTCTGCTCTGGGGTTAGAGAGAAACTACTATAAGCAATAACCTTCTCCTCCCCCTCTTAAACTTGAAAGTCAACACCTTGCGTAATGATTCAAAGGCGTTCTGCTGCACATCTCCCCAATGGAACTTGTTTTTTCCAGTAAGACTATACAAGGGTTGAGATAACTCGGCAAAACTTTTCACGATAGTCCGGTGGTAATTCCCCCAGCCGAGAAACCTCCCTACATCCTTCCAATTATTGAACTGGCCAGTTAGCTACTGTCTCGGTGTCACGTTCTGACATGGCTAACTGGTTTATACTTACCATGCGGCTACAGCATTCTACCTCAAACCATGGACTTCTGATCTTTGTTGTAAGCGGGTTTATCACTGGCTGTCTTGTACTTTCGTTCAGCCCAGTTTCTCTGCAAGCTTGTTGACAGCCTTCTCTATCATCTCTTCCATTCTGGAGTCGCTCGCAGATACTGCATTGACGTTTCCAGTAACATCTTGATCTTTGCGCTTACCCTTTTTATTGTCCACAGCTTGACTGACATACTGAAAGTGTTTCATCAGATTAGTCGCATCCTCCATTGATCTTGGATGGCCCAGACAGGCATGTTTACCTGCTTCCTTGTCTGTGGCTCCTTGACAGTACTTCGCAATAGCTTCAGTACAGCCATATTTTTCCGGTAGGTGGCGGAAAGCTGGAGTGGCTAGAGTCATGACTCTATCTGCCCATTCATCTAAGGGCTCGTCTTGGCTTTGATTGGCCTGCTGAAATTGTATCCTGGCCGTCTCTGTTAATTCTTTGGCGCAAAAACAAGTCTCCAGCTTACGCATGATTTCCCGGAAAGAATGGCAGCTTCCCATCTTTGTGACTAGGGTGAAGTAGTCCAACGCCTTTCCTTCTAATGCCCATCCAAGATAATCCCGACACTGACTGTGTGACCATTCGAGGACGTGTCTGTAGCTGTCAAACTTCTGCTTGAATGACAGCCAATTAGTTTTACCATCAAACTTCAGATTTTTGGGTAATTTCATCGGATTTCCCCTTCATGGTAGTCCTCAGAGTAGTCGCCGTCACTGGAGGAATCAGAGGAATCAAAGTAAAACCTTGACCTACCTCTCCCCTCACTATCATGATGACGTTGTCCATGTCGACGTCGGGCATGCGACCTATCCTTCCTGTTTCTATGACCGTGATGAGATTTAGCCCTATAAGAGCTGTATCCTGTCCTATAAGGACTGTGTCTACGGCCATGTCTGTCCCTTGATGGTGTCCTTGAGGACCTCCCAGCATACCTCCCTGATGGCCTCGACCTAGATTTTGACCTCGAGTCATATAATGACTCCGAGGGCGAGGGTGACCTTGAAGGGGTTCTGTATTTATGATGGCTACCCCTGTGTTTTCCCTCATAAGGTTTCCCTCGTGTCCGGTCCGATACCAAACCTCGGCCATCAGTGTTGTCCTGTGACCTTTGGTGGTCTCTATGCCTAGATGATACCATCTGTGTACCAGGAGCCTCTGTATGTTTCCTATGAGTAGGAACCATATCCGGTGACCTTGACGACCTGGAGCACTGACTTGATGTATAGTGTCGGTGCTTGCCTTTGTCAAGGTTCCTCGGACTTCTCACTGGCATGTCCTGGTAAACAGTTGGACTTGATGGACAACTGGGCTGGTACTTGTCCTCAACGGCTAAACTGCTTCGCATACGTATCAGCTCTTGATACATTTCATGCATCCTGGAGGAACCTGATACATACGAATATCCAGATTCAGCTGTGCTGTGCTCCACCATCTCCTGTTTAACACCATGTTTAGACAGAACCTTATACCTGGCTCCCTCGTCCCTTGATAAATTTTGGTATGGAACCTGGGGGAAATCAGCCATGTATGGGTTCTGTTCTCGTGCAGGTCTTGGCTGCTTACCCTGTAGATTTGTTGATGACCATGGGTCAGTGCTGTTGTCCACATCAGGGCAATAGGTATCAGCCTCCTTACCTGCACCAGGTTTAGTGGTGTGTGCAACGGGTTGGGCAACATGGGGTGAGGCAACACGGGTAGGGGTCCGTATTCGGGCTGTATATGGGGGTTCACCCGGTACTGAACGTAACATCTGCCGTTCCCTTACTGGTGGGGCTGCTAGGTCATCTGTCCCTTGTTGGGGTGTGGTAGCACCCATATCTGATGGTACATGTCCTAGCAGATCTCTTAAATTCTGTGACTCAGAATGTTGGCTGTCCGGCACAGGGATATTGTCCTCAAAATCTATAAGATTTATTAGGTCCCTGTCCATCCTCCTCCCACCAAAAACTGATGTAAACTGGGGCATTGAAATGAACCCAAATTGTTCCCGAATTTCCATAATTCTGGCAGCCCTCCTAGGCCCTATGCCTGGAAGTTGCCTCATTTCCATTTCTGTTGCAGTGTTGATATTTATCAAACAGTGTTGGGCCATGTTGTTTTTATTAATTAATGTTCTTTTAAAATGTTGTCAGTTTTTTCCCTCTCTTTCCAAAATAACTGCCGTAATTTCCGGATATCTGATACAAATATCGGAATGAAAACCGCGTGACCACGTGACTACTACAACAGGTAAAAATCAGAAAAATTCTGACTCAAAGCTGTTGAATTATCAGAAATACAGCGCGAATAAATTCCACACTAAAAGGCAATGCTATCCTAGCACTTCTGACACCAATGAAGTAATAATTACCTTCTGTCTTGGTCTTGCAAGCCGTCACATGGTTGACTATATCATAATGTCGCTGGACAGGTCAGGTCAAGTAATATAGCTCACCATACTAGTAAATATGTATCTGGCACGGTACCCAACAATATGCGAGGTCACCGAGAAACTGTCACTACTATAAGTAGAGCACACTGTAGGACTAAGGGGTTACAATGTCTACAATATGCAGAGCACAATAAGCCGTCCGTATAGTCTGGAGTCCTGGAAGGAAGAGAGTTGGGGTCAGGGAATACTCACTCAAGCAGCACGGGGTCCCTGGCGTCTTACTTACCGTAGAAGCCCGGATGACACAATGTCAACAGACCGTCGACACAACAATCCTTACATTTTGCACTTTTGTCAATTAATAATTGTCCCACAGCACGCAAATGTACAGTTTCAACTGCACGTTTAGGCCTAACGTTAAATGTCAACGATTTGGTAATAACACCATCTTCTGAGAGAGAAAAGCCGGGACATGAAGATGATTTACATAAAAATATCTTTTATCCTTTCAAATTGCAGCGATTTTTGCAAATATTTCTTTCGTCAATGTACCTATTTGACTATTTTGGATAAAACATCAACTTCAAGATCAACCGTCTTTTAGGTTAAAGCGTCAATCGTAGCCCCTGCCCGTTTGAATAATAATTGTTACTTCTCGAGACGAAGACACATTTTGTCCCAACGTTGGTTTTTTGGCTGTTATCACATTCGTTTTATACAAATGAAATAAATATATCGTATTAAACGGGAAAACCATGAAATTTTCTAGTTTTTACATATTTCACGTCATGAGGCGCAAATATTGCTTCATCAGAAAAGCGCGGGAATGTGTAACGTAGTTTTTAACGCCAGGTTATAATGACGTCACGCTTGACAACAATACAGAGCGCCATTTTGAATGGGTTTTCATTGCAATTTTGCCGTTTGCTAGTATTATCTGGTAATTTTACGCAGAGAATATAATGTACCGTTCAGATTGGACAATATTAAGAGGGACATTTTTACTTGCGAATATATAATATTTCGTTTATCTTAACTGCAATAAACATATGTGTTTATCAGATGGAGAATTCATGATATTTCACTAGAAAACTACTGAATACCGATACCGTAAGGTTTACCACCATATTTTTGTAGACAGTATGCGGCCTCAATTTCCCAGAAGGCATTCACGCATGGGGAAGCACCGGAAGTGGACAAAGTGTTTACAGATCAAACCCCGACGGCGCTTCACACCGCTTGGGGGTTTGAAAAAAAGGAATGAGGAAATTTGATTTCCCCTATTTTACCATGATATATGACCCCGACCCCTCCCCCCCCTCCCTCCCACCACCACCATTAGTGGCATGGCAGAAATTAAAATTTTATATCATTTCATAACACATACGATATCTCCACTACAATTATATGCCATATATCCGCTAATCCCAAAACTAGAAATAGCATCCTAACAAGAAACAATGATGGATGACCATGGCCATAGCCTGAGTTTCCTCTGGCCCTGACACTAGACTTAGACATTTTGACAGATAGATGTCAAAATGTGTAAGTCTGGTGTCAGGGCCAGAGGAAAATCGAGCTAGGATGACTAGAACACCAGAACTAGAATTGAAATTGGAGAAATGCCGTAGATTTAGAGGGGATACTCGCTAATCTAACAGTGCAGTACATCAAATAACTGATAAGATAAGAACAAAAACAAAATGTGAACAAGTGTATGTATGTAAATAGGACAATGAGAAATTTTTAGAAATAATATAAATAATGCGCAAACCCAAGCACATTATTGAAGAAATCAACAAAAGGCAGTCCCACTAGCCGCGGCTATCAAATGACCAGAAAGACAGTGCAAACAGTGGTAACTTGAATAAGATAATCAGAAAAATAAGTGTTTGCGTCATATACAGCATTCGTTAGTGAAAACATCTAGAATGACTTTTCCAGCTGTCCAAAGTGCAAGGTACACATTACTTTGTCAAACTCAATAGAGGTGGCCTGGCTTGTTTGCTCTCATCAATGATAATTAAAACAATACCATAAGATTGTATCATCTATTGTTCTCATGGTACCAGCTTGAAATGTTTAACCTTTAGTTAAGTCAACCCACATAGCTTTGAGTGTTGTACTGATATGTTATGAGATGTATACAGTAAGTAAAACAAAGGCACAAGAAACACATTACCTGGGTATACAGAATTTGTAACCCTATTGTACCAACTAAAATACAAAACTTTTACTGAGCTGTGTACTATTTTCAGGATACACCAAAATAGTTTGAATTAAAATGAAAAGATGCATATGTACATGAAATTCCTGACTGCAAACTATTTCAGAGGAAGTAGAGACTGATGAAGTAAAAGAAGCGAAGCAGTATGAGGCAGATGGTGTTACTGCTGCAGAGGCTGGGGATCTGGAGCTGGCCCTGAGCAAGTTTGGGCTCGCCATACAGGTGTGTCCCACCCGAGGGTCAGGATATAATAACAGGGCCCAGGCACTCAGACTTAAAGGAGATGTACAAGGTCAGTGATATAAGCCAATAAAGGTTTACATACAGAACAAGGCATAAGATACAACAGATGAGGTGGGGCATAGTTTTGTTGTCTATTATAATACACTAGACAAGATTAATTACAGTCAAACTTCAATGAATTGAACATAGACTTGATGTGTCAAACTTACAGCAAAGTCCAGATTTTTTTTCCGTTATATAACACTACTGATATTCCTTTTAGGAATCAAACTTTTACAAGTCCACCTTCTCTCTGTTTCAAACTACAATCAAGTCTTGATGTTTTAAATTTTACCTGCTGGTCCCACAAAGTTTGAAACATCAAAGTTTGATTATTGTATTTATTTGAGGGTCATAGATGCAGACAAGACAATGTATTTATATGATGATGTAACATTAGTATAACCCACTTGTGATGAAACATTGATATATAACCCACTTGTGATGAAACATTGATATAACCCACTTGTGATGAAACATTAGTATAACCCACTTGTGATGAAACATTGATATCACCCACTTGTGATGAAACATTGATATATAACCCACTTGTGATGAAACATTGATGTAACCCACTTGTGATGAAACATTGATATAACGCAAATCTTTACCTTGGTCTAAATTACTACTTATAAAATTATAGATATCAGCTAGTTGATTAGTAGTTGAGTCTTTGGGTTGAAATCCTGACTGATATACACTTAACATATTGTGACTTGAAATATAATTAAACGTATATTAAAAATATATTTTTCTAACATTTTGATAAAATGGATGTAATGGCAATAGGTCTATAATTATTGAGATCACTGATATCTCCTTTACCTTTATAGAGAGCAGTAACATTAGCAGTTTTTAGTACATCGGGTATTTCTCTAATAGATCATGATAGTTTAGTGGGTACACTAAAGAAGAAGAAATGTTCTTCACAATCATAGGTAAAATATCATCAGGACCAGCTGGTTTGTTTTTATTAAGAATGTCAAATTGGTCAGTTATATCTTGTTCAGTTATGTTGAAATTAGAAAATTCAAATGGACATAAGGGAGGTAAGTCAGGTAGGTTAGTTATCAGTAATATCAGAGGCAATGGTGGTAAAGAAGTTATTTAGTGCTTCAGCTTTATCTTGTGGATGGATTACAATCTTATGGTTATATTTCAGAGGATAAGAATTAGTGCTAGTGTTAGTCATTTTCCTATAGATTTCGCTATCTGCCACCATTTTCTTGGATGCACTGATTTGTCAGCAAGACAATTTTGTAGTTTCTTAAAGTAATTTTCTTTGGACTGCCGAATAAGTGTTATAGTGTCATTGCGATAAGTTCTAAATTTTGCCCAATCTTGTTCCCTATTTTTATTTTTAGCTATTCTATGTAAACTATTCTTATGTCTCAATTTATGCTGAATTTCACCAGTCATCCAAGGTTTGTCATCAGGATGGATAGTAATTGTTTTATGAGGTATATGGGAGTTAGTAGCAGAGTTTATTTTGTTTATAACAGTGGAATATATTTCATTAATGCTAGTAGTGTTATTAACTATGGAATCCCAATCATTACTAAGTAGTTCATTATTAATAGCATCCCAATTAGCTTCATTGAACTTATATATAGGTTTCTTGAATGGTTTACTTTTAGTGTTTTAAAACAAATGTTAGCAAGAATGGGGCAGTGATCACTACACAGAATGGAAAGTACTTGTGTTGAGTTAAAAATGTTAACATTATCAATAATAAATACATCAATTAGCGTAGCAGTAGTGTTTGTAATACGTGTCGGTGATTGTATTAAGTTTGTTAAGTGATATTTAGTAATTAACCTTGCAAGATGTGAATTAGGTTTCATTGTTATAAGGTCAACATTTATGTCACCAGTAATAATGATATTAAGATGAGTATTAGAAAGAGTATCCAAAATGTTATCAAGTTTATTCCAGTAATCTATTTTTGTATTAGGAGGTCTATAAAGGCAGCAGAGAAGTATTTTTTTGTTAGAAGTGTTAATTTCTAGGATGACAAGTTCCATGTCTTCAGTTTCAAGATCAGTTCTGTGATTTATTAAGAGGTTGTTTTTAGTATATATCATGAAGTCTGGTTTTGTATGTATAAAAAGTTTTCCAGACATATAAAATAATAAAAAAAAAAGTCCAATCTTATTGAATTATTCTTTTTCTAAATCAAAATTTTATTCATAAATTTTCCACAACAGCAAAACTGTAAGTTAGGAAAACTTTGTAAGTTTTCTACTTAAAATTAACTAACAAGTAACTTGAGTTAGATTTTGCCTGGCAAGCAGTCGTTATTTATGTAGGCACTGCTGTAGCACCGTATAGTTATGTTGTAGGTGCCCTCCAGGACTTGCACACGGCTATAGAGCTCAGTGAAGGACAGGGGTCTGCTGCTTGCCAGGCCTTTACGCAGCGAGGACTCATATTCAAACTAGAAGGTATGTCACTTCATGATGATATCAATTAATTAAAGTTCACAGCACAATGCATCTGTATAGTACGTCCCCAAATAAAGAGATGATCAGTAGTGTCGTAAGTTTTCCAATGTCACTCTTTACTTTTTTAACAGAAACTAAATAACAAAAATGGCCACTGTGGCCTCTGATTGGCTGACACAGTTGTGGTTATAAGGTAACTTATGTTCTGTAGGGCAAACTTTCCTCATACATTGTGGAAGTGATTCTTGGGAGATAGTCTGCGACACATCAATTACTTTCACAAAAATAGTTTTGGGGACATTTGTAACCATTCCTGTTAGTACTTGTTGTTTGAAAAAACTCAGGTAATAAAAACCTCTATACCTGAATTCATTGGTATGATAAAGAATTGTTCACCTGTGTGTCAGTAGACAGTCTGAATACCGTAAAAGAGGAAATCCTTGTGTGTAGACAATGGTGTTGTTGCGACTCTTTAAGCTGATCTTGGTATGGAAATTTTCCTGTTTTCAATGGTTATGAAATCAACATATTCTATATTTGTTGTATGTGTATCAATAATTAATATATAAACCATATCTATTTGTATTCATATGTAGATATTTTGCAATAATTTACTCAACACTAAAATTGGAAAAAAAAAAGTTAACATCACAATGATTTCCAATTTTGCAGTACATGTGAAGCGTTTCCTCCCCGGATCCCGGGGTGGGGTAGCTATGTCTATAAGTCCGGGATGGAAGTCGACTACGGCAGGGATAACTCAAACAAACTATATCAAGTTCACATAATTTTATTTACACATCGATGATATCAGGTAGTTTCACACAAAGTCCACTCGGAATCAAACACTCAATCTCACGTCACTCCACTAATATATCTCCATCAGAATAAGGTGTAAATCCCATGACAATGTACGCGCACAAGTTAAATCCAATGATTATTTCCCTGGTATAAACCAACGTGGAGTAAGTCCCAAAATAATGCTATTCTCCCCTATTTCTCACCTGTATTTGGGTTACAGGGGAGAACTGCCACTAGTTTGATACTTGTATTTGGGTTACAGGGGATAACTGCCACTAGGTTGATACCTGTATTTGGGGTACAGGGGAGAACTGCCATTAGTTTGATTCCTGTATTTCGGTTACAGTGTAGATCTGCCGTTAGTTTGATACCTGTATTGGGGTTACAGAGGAGAACTGCCACTAGGTTGATTCCTTTATTTGGGTTACAGGGGAGATCTGCCACTAGTTTGATAACTGTATTTGGGTTACAGGGGAGACCTGCCACTAGTTTGATACTTGTATTTGGGTTACAGGAGAGAACTGCCACCAGTTTGATACCTGTATTGGGGTTACAGAGGAGAACTGCCATTAGTTTGATACCTGTATCTGGGCTACAGGGGAGAACTGCCACTTGTTTGATACCTGTATCTGGGTTACAGGGAAGAACTGCCACTAGTTTGATTCCTGTATTTGGGTTACAAAAAAAAACTGCCACTAGTTTGATACCATTTCCCTGGTATAAACCAACGTGGAGTAAGTCCCAAAATAATTCTATTCTCCCCTATTTCTCTCCTGTATTTGGGTTACAAAAAAAAACTGCCACTAGTTTGATATCTGTATTTGGGTTACAGAAGAGAGCTGCCACTAGTTTGATACCATTTCCCTGGTATAAACCAACGTGGAGTAAGTCCCAAAATAATTCTATTCTCCCCTATTTCTCTCCTGTATTTGGGTTACAAAAAAAAACTGCCACTAGTTTGATTCCTGTATCTGGGTTACAGGGGGGAACTGGCGCTAGTTTGATACCTGTAGCTGGGTTACAGAAGAGAACTGTCTCTAATTTGATACCTGTATTTGAGTTACAGAAGAGAACTGTCTCTAATTTGATACCTGTATTTGGGATACAGAGGAGAACTGCCACTAGGTTGATTCCTTTATTTGGGTTACAGGGGAGACCTGCCACTAGTTTGATAACTGTATTTGGGTTACAGCAGAGAACTGCCACTAGTTTAATACCTGTATTTGGGTTACAGAGGAGAACTGCCATTAGTTTGATACCTGTATTTGGGTTACAGAAGAGAACTGCCACTAGTTTGATACCTGTATTTGGGTTACAGAGGAGAACTGCCACTAGTTTGATACCTGTATCTGGGTTACATGGGAGAACTACCACTAGTTTGATACCTGTATCTGGGTTACAGAGGAGAACTGCCACTAGTTTGATACCTGTATCTGGGTTACAGGGGAGAGCTGCCACTTGTTTGATACCTATATCTGGGTTACAGGGGAGAACTGCCACTAGTTTGATACCTGTATTTGGGTTACAGAGGAGAACTGCCGCTAGTTTGATACCTGTATCTGGGTTACAGAGGAGAACTGCACCTAGTTTGATACCTGTATCTGGGTTACAGGGGAGAACTGCCACTAGTTTGATACCTGTATCTGGGTTACAGGGATGAACTGCCACTAGTTTGATACCTGTATTTGGGGTACAGAGGAGAACTGCCACTAGTTCGATACCTGTTGGGTTACAGGGGAGAGCTGCCACTTGTTTGATACCGATATCTGGGTTACAGGGGAGAACTGCCACTAGGTTACAGGGGAGAACTGCCACTAGTTTGATTCCTGTATCTGGGTTACAGGGGAGAGCTGCCACCTGTTTGATACCTATATCTGGGTTACAGGGGAGAACTGCCACTAGGTTGATACCTGTATTTGGGTTACAGAGGAGAACTGCCGCGAGTTTGATACCTGTATCTGGGTTACAGAGGAGAACTGCCACTAGTTTGATGCCTGTATTTGGTTTACAGGGGAGAACTGCCACTAGCAATAGTTTGATACCTGTATTTGGGTTACAGGGGAAAACTGCCACTAGTTTGATACCTGTATTTGGGGTACAGAGGAGAACTGCCACTAGTTCGATACCTGTATTTGGGTTACAGGGGAGAACTGCCACTGGTTTGATACCTGTATCTGGGTTACAGGGGAGAAATGCCACTAGTTCGATACCTGTATTTGGGTTACCACGAGTTTGATACCTGTATTTGGGTTACAGAGGAGAACTGCCACTAGTTCGATACCTGTATTTGGGTTACCACGAGTTTGATACCTGTATTTGGGTTACAGAGGAGAACTGCCACTAGTTCGATACCTGGATTTGGGTTACAGGGGAGAACTGCCACTAGTTTGATAACTTTATTTGGGTTACAGAGGAGAACTGCCACTAGTTCGAGACCTGTATTTGGGTTACAGGGGAGAACTGCCACTGGTTTGATACCTGTATCTGGGTTACAGGGGAGACCTGCCACTTGTTTGATACCTATATCTGGGTTACAGGGTAGAACTGCCCCTAGTTTGATACCTGTATTTGGGTTACAGGGGAAAACTGCCACTAGTTTGATACCTGTATTTGGGTTAAAGGGGAGGAGGAAAAGGCGTTAGAAGATTTCAAGAGAGCCGGAGCACTAGGAGGACAGTTTGCTAAACAACAAGTGGTAGCTTACATGGGAGAACTGCCACTGGTTTGATACCTGTATCTGGGTTACAGGGATGAACTGCCACTAGTTTGATACCTGTATTTGGGGTACAGAGGAGAACTGCCACTAGTTCGATACCTGGATTTGGGTTACAGGGGAGAACTGCCACTAGTCTGATACCTTTATTTGGGTTACAGGGGAGACCTGCCACTAGTTTGATACCTGTATCTGGGTTACAGGGATGAACTGCCACTAGTTTGATACCTGTATTTGGGGTACAGAGGAGAACTGCCACTAGTTCGATACCTGGATTTGGGTTACAGGGGAGAACTGCCACTAGTCTGATACCTTTATTTGGGTTACAGGGGAGACCTGCCACTAGTTTGATACCTGTATCTGGGTTACAGAAGAGAACTGCCACTAGTTTGATACCTTTATTTGGGTTACAGGGGAGAACTGCCACTAGTCTGATACCTTTATTTGGGTTACAGGGGAGACCTGCCACTAGTTTGATACCTGTATCTGGGTTACATGGGAGAACTGCCCCTAGTTTGATACCTGTATTTGGGTTACAGGGGTGGAGGAAAAGGCGTTAGAAGATTTCAAGAGAGCCGGAGCACCTGTATTTGGGTTACAGGGGAGAACTGCCACTGGTTTGATACCTGTATTTGGGTTACAGGGGAGGAGGAAAAGGCGTTTGAAGATTTCAAGAGAGCCGGAGCACTAGGAGGACAGTTTGCTAAACAACAAGTGGTAGCTTACATGGGAGAACTGCCACTGGTTTGATACCTGTATCTGGGTTACAGGGATGAACCGCCACTAGTTTGATACCTGTATTTGGGTTACAGCGGAGAACTGCCACTAGTTCGATACCTGTATTTGGGTTATAGGGGAGAACTGCCACTAGTTTGATACCTGTATCTGGGTTACAGGGATGAACTGCCACTAGTTTGATACCTGTATTTGGGTTACAGGGGAGGAGGAAAAGGCGTTAGAAGATTTCAAGAGAGCCGGAGCACTAGGAGGACAGTTTGCTAAACAACAAGTGGTAGCCATGAACCCATACGCTGCTCTCTGTAATCAGATGTTGTCGGAGGTCATGCGCAAAGTCAAAACGGGAGAAACGTGAAAGGATCAGATTAACTTGTGGCTGGTGTGTTTTGCATAAATATGCATTGTGAATGACAGTTGTTAAAAACAAGGCAACTGAGATATTTTAAATGTTAGTACATGCATATAACATGATTTCTATATTGTTGGTATGTGGATACAGATACAGAATTTACAAAAAGAATAATCAACATTCAGAAGAATTTGGAAAATTATTTTTCTATGCATGTTTCCCTTTGAGTAAGTTACTGTATTCATAACAAATTTGTTTGCTTTTATGCCTTATGTTTTTAGCTCGCCTGGTCCAAAGGACCATAGTGAGCTTATGCCTTGCCTATGTCGTCGTCCGTCCGTCGTCAACTTTTTCTTTTAAACCTATCTCCTCCTAAACGCCAAAGAGGATTTAAACCAAATTTAGGGAAGGGCAATAATTTCTTAAATAAATGAGGTTAGTTTGATCCCTGAGGCCAGGGGGGGCGGGGCCCTGAACGGGAACTTAGCTAAATTTGCTTTAAAACGCATCTCCTCCTAAACGCCAGAGAGGATTTCAACCAAATTTAGTCTGAAGCATCACTAGGCGAGGGCAATCATTTCTTAAATAAATGAGGTTGGTTTGATCCCTGAGGCCAGGGGGGGCGGGGTCCTGAAGGGGAACTTAGCTAAATTTGCTTTAAAACGCATCTCCTCCTAAACGCCAGAGAAGATTTCAACCTAATTTGCTCTGAAACTTCATTGGGGGAGGGCAATCATATCCTAAAAAAATGAGACTGGTTCGACCCCTGGGGCTAGAAAGACCAGGCCCCAAAGAGGAAAATTATCTAATATTTTGCTTTAAGACGCTAATACCCCCTAATTGCCTGAGTGGTTGTACAAAATTTGGTCAAAAACATTATTGAGGAAGAACAAACATTTCTTAATTGAATGAGGTTGATTTGACACCTGCAGTCATAAGAAATGGTACAGCTAGATTATCATATTCAATGGTGTAGTTTTCATAAATTGTTAAAAATTGGTTTCTAGGTTTATAAAAGCTTATAGTTGAATGGCAATTAAAGTATTGTCTAATTACACCCTGTAATATATCATATTACTTATTTCAAAATCTGTTAACATGGCAACTCAATGGAGGCCTCTGATTAGTTGAAAGTCAGATATTGTGGTCCCAGTTGAGTTAGAACATAGATCTTGTCTGGTTTTGAGGAAATTTCATATAAAGATGTACTAATGCATTAAGTTGTAATGATTTAAATATAAAACCAGGTGAGCGATACAGGTCCAATGAACCTCTTGTTATCAGTTGTTAATTAGCCAGGTGGTCATATATAAATGTGTGAAATGATAAGATTGTTATAGCTGAAAATATTGTTATTGTACCTTGAAAATTCTAATACAGAGCTGTATATAAATTTTAATATAACTCTTAACGGGCAAAATAACCGCTCGGAGACAGAATCTCGCCACGTACATTGTATATGTAAACAGAGGAACAAGACTATCAGAACTAATGAAGTAGTTGCACTGTAATATGGTGTTGTATTTTTTTACTGGTGGACATATTTACTGATTGGGAGGAGTAGATTGTAGAGGATATGGGTGATTGATTGTTTTTCACAAGAACTGGTAATGGGTATACACTCTGAAGCTACCAGTAAAGGGTTCCTTGCCCACTGCACTGTGTATTTTCCTATACACGGTAATCCCACTTCCCTCTGGTTATAACTGTAGCACAGTTGGGCTAGGACACTTCTGTCCACCATGTAGCTCAATCGGTTAGAGAGACGGTATACAAATCTGCAGTCCAGGGGTTGAATCCCGTTCAGCTCCACTGATTTTTTTACATTGTTTTTGATTATATTTTATGCATCTTTCTTATCTCTCATAAAAGACCATTACAGAAATGATTTATCAAAGCTATGGTCATGCAAGAAAAAGAAGTTTCCAACACTTAATTAAGTTTTCTGCAGTGGTACAGGGATCCTTAAGGGGATTTCTAATTGGTAGGGGGGCACAATGGATAAGAACAAAGTTGTTTTTATTACATCTCATTTTACAACATTGCTCTTATAATGTATATTCTGTTTTGTTTCAATCTTGCATTAAGTGGCATTAATAAAAGGAACTTGGAGAACATCTTGTTTGAACTGATTTGTGTTTGTAACTGTTGCAGTATTTGTAAACTATGCTCCCTGTGGGCCCTAACCCTGTGGGCCCTTTATTGAAGCAATTAAATCTTGTATCTGAATTTAATATTCTGACCATTAATCTTTCTTCAATGGTAACATTGGGACTGTTTATGGATTCATGTCAAAGTTGATTTGCTGATACAGAGCATGTTCTGAATAACACCGAAAATTTAAATCTCTAAAAATGGTAATTTCATATTAAACATGCTAAATCATGTTTGGTATGCGCATGCTAAGGTGAAGGTCTATCATTTGTTTTCAAATGGATGACCTTGACCAAATTCCAATGTCCCAGGAGTCAAATGTCTTCACCAAGAAGCCAGGGGTGGTGATATTTAGCTTGCAGCATGCTAGGATGAAGGGGTATTCATATGTTTTTTTAAATGTTATGATTACACTGTAGGTCACTTTCCTCAAAATCTTTAAACAAGATCTGGTAAAGGTCATTAAGGCTTTAAGAAGTTACATTTTAACTGCAGCTTGGTAGGATAACATACAGACAAAGTTTATTCAAATAAATTACCTTACTTGCTTAACTTGTACGATACATAAAATAAAATTTGGAATGAAAATGACTTTGACCTACTTTCAAGGTCACAGGGGTCAAATGTGTCAAACACTTCAAACGATTTCTCCTGAAGAACCAAAATGTATAGAACATTCATATTTGGCTGTTGGCTTCCTGAGATAGAGGCCAAAAAAGGTTTGGAATGAAAACGACCTTGACCTACTTTCAAGGTCACAGGTGTCAAATGTGTCAAACACTTCAAACGACTTTTACTGAATTATCAAAAGACATACATTTATAATATTTGGCTGGTCACTTCCTGGGATAGAGCTCACCAAAGTTTGCAAATGAAAATGACCTCAACCTACTTTAAAGGTCACAGAGGTCAACAACATTTCAAAGGATTTGTTCTGAAGAACCAAAAGGAATGGATTCATAAGATTTGGCTGGTAGCTTTTTGGGATAGAACTAACAAAGTTTGAGAATAAAAATGACCTTGACCTTCTTTCAAGGTCACAGGGGTCAAATGTGTCAAACTCTTCAAACAACTTCTTCTGAAGAACAGAAAGGTATAGAGTGTTTATATTTGACAGGTGGCTTCCTGGGATATAGCCCGACAAAGTTTGATAATGAAAATGACCTTGACCTACTTTCAAGATCACAAGGGGTCAAATGTGTCAAACTCTTCAAACGACTTCTTCTGAAGAACTGAAAGGTATAGAGTTTTTATATTTGACAGGTGGCTTCCTGGGATAGAGTCCAACAAAGTTTGAGAATGAAAATTTCTTTGACCTTTCAAGGTCACAGCGGTCAAATATGTCAAACGCTTCAAACCACTTCTGAAGAACTAAACAGTATGAAATCTTCATATTTAGCTGATGGCTTCCTAGAATGGAGCCCGACAAAGTTTAAGAATGAAAATGACCTTGACCTACTCTCAAGGTCACAGTTGTCAAATATGTCGAACGCTTCAAATCACTTCTTCTTCTGAACTAAACAGTATAGAATCTTCATATTTGGATGTGGCTTCCTGGGATGGAGCCCAACAAAGTTTTGGAATGAAAACGACCTTGACCTACTTTCAAGGTCACATGTGTCAAATGTGTCAAACACTTCAAACGACTTTTACTTAATAATCAAAAGACATACATTTATAATATTTGGCTGGTCACTTCCTGGGATAGAGCTCACCAAAGTTTGCAAATGAAAATGACCTCAACTTCTTTAAAGGTCACAGAGGTCAACAACGTTTCAAAGGATTTGTTCTGAAGAACCAAAAGGAATGGATTCATAAGATTTGGCTGGTAGCTTTTTGGGATAGAGCTAACAAAGTTTGAGAAGGAAAAATGACATTGACCTACTTACAAGGTCACAGGGAAAAATATGTCCAACAACTTCTGAAGAAGAACCAAAAAGCACAGAATCTTATAATAATATTGCTTAAATATTCAGGTGAGCGATACTGGGCCTCTTGTCTCTAAAACATCACAACCTATGTCTGACTGCATCCCAAACCAAAGGCCAGCTTTGCACACGATGCATCTGACAACATGGACGACTTTCAATTATGGAATGTTTTCCATCATGTGTTTATCGACCGGCGGTTAACTGAAGAGCAGGAGATACCCGTCATCAGCCGTTTTCCAGACTCCTATGGTAGTAATTAAGGACTTAAAATTTACAGAACCCGAAGGAGAAATGGTCAACATTGAGATTGTTGTACATGTAAAAATGATGTTACTTCTGATATTAAACCTACAACATTAACATCCCTATAGAAAAACACAAGGTTTCATTGTCACGTGACTTTCTATCACAACACGGACTTAATTAGATTAATATAATTCCCTGTTACAAAATGAAAATCAAAGTTTCGTAAGGGTGAATTCTGTTTATTTTTAATTTTTGCAACAATTTTGCTGAATAAAGCCCTTTTTATTTCTTGTTTATTTACCACGGTGTCATTTCTTGTTGACAGGTACAGTGCGGTTGCATTTTCATTGGCAGACCAGAATCTAGTTTTGTACTCGGTAAAGGGGAGGAGCTTCACTAATATCAGATGGTATTAGCTTTTAAGCTTTTGGAGATGTCTTGATTCAATATCATTTACCTATTTGATAATTTTCATCCGGTTGCGCATAAACTGATAAAACGTCCATTATTTACACATAGATGAGTTGTGGCGGTATATAGATTATGTTACTCACACATAGATGAGTTGTGGCGGTATAGATTATGTTACTCACACATAGATGAGTTGTGGCGGTATAGATTATGTTACTCACACATAGATGAGTTGTGGCGGTATAGATTATGTTACTCACACATAGATGAGTTGTGGCGGTATAGATTATGTTACTCACACATAGATGAGTTGTGGCGGTATAGATTATGTTACTCACACATAGATGAGTTGTGGCGGTATAGATTATGTTACTCACACATAGATGAGTTGTGGCGGTATAGATTATGTTACTCACACATAGATGAGTTGTGGCGGTATAGATTATGTTACTCACACATAGATGAGTTGTGGCGGTATAGATTATGTTACTCACACATAGATGAGTTGTGGCGGTATAGATTATGTTACTCACACATAGATGAGTTGTGGCGGTATAGATTATGTTACTCACACATAGATGAGTTGTGGCGGTATAGATTATGTTACTCACACATAGATG